CTCTTCCCTTGTGTATGTCGTGGCCTACTGATGCAGAGGCTTCTGTTACACTAGTTGCCTTCATCTGCATTTGTTGGTGTGTATGGGACAGAAGAGCCAGGTCATCTGAGAAGTCTAGTTGATTCTGAGCTGTCCATTGTATTCCCTTTTTCCCCTCAGATGTTGAGGTCTTCATAAACCAATTGACCACCAGAATAAAGAGAAAGGGTGAGAGTAAAAACCTTGTCTGACTCCGGTCCTCACTTGGAATGCAATTTACTCCGTAGTATGAATTTCGGATGATGCTAACGATTTTCTTAAACATGGTTCGCGTAAGCATTAGTATTCATCCAGTGCATTCTAGCAGTTCTTAAAACGATCACCACAACGCTTTATGAAATACACAACTCCCTTTATCTCACTACGTTACTGAGAATTTTAATGCGCCAATCATACCAAACAATCGATAAGTGGATATAATTGTCAGATTGATAACAATAGCTTGATCTAAAACTTTTCTGTATGTTTGTTACGACTCATGGAGGGCCAGGATAATAGGACTATAGTAATTCATAGACAAGGAGATATTCGAATAGGGATCCCCACAGATCAGTAAACAAATCTTTTTTAGAGTACGAACGGAACTTTAGCAACAGCATTTCTAGGAGTCTCTTATCTTCAGTAAGTGAGGTATAAACGAATTTACTAACCTCTTCTAAACATACGAAGAGATTACATACCCTCTTATCACTGTGATTAATGTATATACCTAAGATCCTATTCAAATAAATTATTATCACCTTGAATATCTAGCAACTGTAATAATGATTATGACGGAGATAAATGCTTTGAGATTTTCTTACGATCAACAACCAGATTAACAAGATAGCCACTTGATTTATAGGTTAATTCAAACTCGTTAAATCATAAAGCTGTCACTAGCTAATTTACGAAGACCGAAACAACCTTCATCCTGGAAGGTTATCACTCCATTGATTTACAGAATCAGTTTGCGTCGATGTAAAAAGCAATTTTACTAGTTTTATTATATTCCCTTGGCTCTGAAAGTCCTAAACTTCCACATTACATCACTCGAATTCATCTTTTTAATGAGCACAGTTCTGGTCTAAAAATATCGTGATGCTTAATCGTTAACCGATGATTGTGTGAAAATAAAGTCCCCAATCTCTGTAAACATTTTTTCAATGACTAACAAGCATCTTGTTTTACTTCTTGACATCCCCTCTCAGGTCGTATAATAGAAAACGTAGATTTATGCGCTACAGAAATCTATCGACTCCATAAAACTCCTGAGTTCAACTGTGTTGAAATTTGGCCAACCTTTAGACCATTTTTACAATTATAGCTGGATTTAATTTAGTTAACTGTAAACTCAGTCATCGATTATTCATTTTGACTACAAGGTAGTTTTTCAAAGATAAGTAATTTTCACTTAGCTCGGAAGTCAATACATACATTATTTTGGCTTTAAAGCCATTATAAGATATACAAAGTTTACAAAATATGTCTTATGGAAAAATTATCGGAATAGTTTCACATAAAACAAATCAGTTCAAGTGTCTCATTCTGTTGACATATGCAGGGAAACACTAGAGTATCCACAAAACCGTTGTTGAATATCGTCGCTTGCTGTTATTGGATTTTGAATTACAAGTTATTGTAGCTAATGGGATCTGAGGAGAATACTGAATACACGTGCATTCCAAATTAGCTCGCAATAATTTTATTCCGCCTCCTGATGGTAATCACCTAAAAAGTGACCTTCCACACAGTTCAGCTGAATATTTAATTACCAAATTACATAAACTGCAGTTTAAATTGATCGGAAAAGTACAAATTACAAAACTTTCGATTTTCTCTCGGGCTTCATCTATTTCGGATGTTGAAGTGAATATTCGCCTTGTGATGCCAAATTGATTGATAAGCAATATTACTAAAATTTATATGCTTGACTTACAAACCAACAAATTTTGATATATTTGCTTGTGACTATGCATATTAAAACCTTAAGAATAACTACATAAAACTGAGATCCACTATTAAAATTACTAACAGAAATACTTGATTGTAGAATCGATCCTCATTAATTTAGTCAACCAGCTAAAAACCTCTTTGTCAGTCTTAAATTCTAAGGAGGTTTTAGATGGGATCGATTAAAGCAGCTAAAAATAAACTTTCCTACAGTTAATCGATTTTCAGATATTCCTTACTATTCATTACTTTCTTGAAGTTACCTTCAAATGTAATCATTAATTTACACGTACTCGTGTAAACAAGTACATATGAGTGAAGTTTTCTGAACAAATTCCCCGAAAGTTGATTTTGGAGGTACAGCATGTACTAATGCTAAAACTAGACACCCAGTAGATATTGAAAAGGTGGATATCACAAAGACATTTTAAACAATTTACAAGTGGTAAACACTACTCTTTGTTGATTGTAGAAGTAACCATCAAAATAAATGTGATGAAACACCATTACTTCCTCATGTGTTTAAGAAAGAACCTTAACAGGAGTTCCGTGGAAATTTTAGTAATTTAAGTTAAATCCACAAGTCAATTGAAGCTAGACGACCATGGGAAACCTGAAAGCACTAGACTTCGGTTTCCTCCCAGCATGGGACGCCTCAGCAGTGCGCATTCACGATCCCGCCCACCAGATTTTAAACCAGAACGTCTCGCGCGCGAACGCTTGAACCCTAGATCACTGAGCCGGCATCCAATGTTGTTAATGTCATACTGACAGTTCTAATCTCGCGGGATAATGGATGCACACTGCCGAGTCCCATACTATGACGAGAATGCCATCCAGTGTTTTCAGGGTTTCCATGGTGGTCTAGCTTCAGTTGATTCAATTCAACTATAAGAATGAATCGTTGAATGTAGTAAGATCACCAAATATGTACTGGGTTCTATTTATCTAAAATTGCAAATTGTTACACTCAACCAATCTCTTTATATTTTACGTTAAGTAACAACTTCCAATCAACTAGGAACTCATTCACAGCATTTAGGTTAATATTTATACATACATCTGAAGGGAAGCACGGGATACAGTGGACATCTAGGATGCAATTGGATGATCTAGACTTCGCAGATGATCTGGCTCTTCTATCGCATACGCAACAACAAATGCAGGAGAAGACGTCCAGTGTAGCAACAGCCTCAGCAGCAATAGGTCTCAATATACACAAAGGGAAAAGCAAGATTCTCCGATACAACACAGCATGCACCAATCCAATCATAATTGACGGAGAAGCTTTGGAAGATGTAAAAACCTTTACATATTTGGGCAGTATCATCGATGAACACGGTGGATCTGATGCAGATGTGAAGGCACGGATTGGCAAAGCAAGAGCAGCATATTTACAACTGAAGAACATCAGGAACTCAAAACAATTGGCAACCAACACCAAGGTCAGAATTTTCAATACAAATGTGAAGACAGTTCTACTGTATGGGGCGGAAACCTGGAAAACTACGAAATCCATCATCCAGAAGATATAGGTGTTTATTAACAGTTGTCTACGCAAAATACTTCGGAACCGTTGGCCAGACACTATCAACAACAACCTACTGTGGGAGAGAACAAATCAGATCCCAGTGGAGTAAGAAATCAAAAAGAAGCGCTGGAGCTGGATAGGATACACATTGAGGAAAGCACCGAACTGCGTCACAAGACAAGCCCTCACATGGAATCCTGAAGGCCGAAGGAGGAGAGGAAGACCAAAGAACACATTACGTCGAGAAATGGAGAAAGACATGAGAAAAATTGGATGGAACTAGAAAAGAAGGCCCAGGACAGAGTGGGTTGGAGAATGCTGGTCGGTGGCCTATGCTCCATTGGGAGTAACAGGCGTAAGTTACATATACATTTAGAAGTTGTCTATCGTTTATCAATAACGTGAGCAGTTTGTGCATTTAGCTTTTCATAACTAGACAGTAAAAACAAATTACAGGACAAGAACGAGCAAAATGGACAGGATATCAGTTATATCGCAATGACTACTCTTTCTTGTTTTTTAGCACTAGGGTTTTGAATGACGAATCATCTTGCTTTTCATTTGAATACGGTTATGTATCTGAAATTTCCGAAAATAATACCTGGGTGTAGTTTAAAGTTAGTCTGCTTTTAGTTGACGATATTAACTTCGAAAACCAGTGAGATAAATGTACTGGTATTTGAGAATTAATTAGTATCAGGCTGTATATTACTCTTATTCCCACAAATTAAACCTCATGACTTTCACTTTAGATAACCTCTTACACTGCTGCCTTCTCGAAAATTGTTATAGATGAGTTGTCACCAGTGATGTTAAACCGGAATAAACTGCTTAGTTTTTAGTTTCAAAAGTCGATCTTCGTCCTTTTACTCAGCACAATAGACCAAGTAGGAATTAAGCGTATTGTGTTAAAATTGGGTGGAGAAAATAATGAATATTAAATATTCTATTCAGTGCAATCTGAAGGTGATTTTACATTTCCAAAAGTTTTACTTTACCCAACAAATGCTGCGAAGTAATGAATATAAATAAAACTCAACTACACAGGTATTGTCGTTATCTATAATATTGTTTGTGCCACGTTATAGCAACATAACCATCTCCCAACAACCAGCCACACTCATAACTTGTTCAGACGCAAAATTCGATATCCCATTATGAAATAACGAATCAATGATTGAATCTCATTTGATACTGTTTAAGCGTATAAGGTTTACTAACAACAATGATTTCCCGTTACATGTTTGAGTTTCATTCACAAGTTTTCACCAAGCACAGTAATTTTTACTGCCACATATGGATTCAATGCACGCCCCCATTAAACAGCGCAAAATAACACATTTCAGTCAATGTGGCATGAAACAGTATGTAGCGTCAAACATTAAGACAGGACATTATATTTGATAGGCGAACAAGATATAAGGGATTAACTTACACCTAGAATACTGAACATTTTTATTCATGTAACTCGATTAACAATGAAAAAAACAACTAGGTAGTTTGTTAATTAAGAATTGGCAATTTATTCAACTATATATGAATATTACTTTCAGTAGGAATAGAATCTTTATTAAAATGTTCATTGTAGAATTTCAGTATATTGGGATGTGTATTATTTATTTGAACACATAAATATTGGTACAGGGGGGCACCAAATATATATGCGCCACACATTGGGATGTGTAAATCCCAATCGTCTAAGTAATGGTAGGAAACCTAAGTTGTCGTAAGTTACAATTTTCATAAATGAATTTATTACCTGCCCCTGAGAAACGAATATTTAAAAAACGGCAACATAAATGTAGAAATTTGCTCAGTCTACCTCACCTACTGGACCTATTGACAAGAGACTAAATTCGTACCAAAACCTATGAATCTGGAGTAGCACACTACATAAACTAGCAAATTTAATGACAAGGTGATCCGTATAGAAAACAAGATGTACTTTTCCATAAGTTATATTGCTAAACTACCACGTTTCTGTTGGATCGGCATCTAAATTACTCCAACCACCTGCTGTCCCACCAACAGGACCGTAACCAGCAGCGGCTATCCCCATATCACCTAATGATCCGACAGGCATTGTTGGCTCAACTCCCCACGTTTCTGCAGCTTCAATATCGGCCCCTGAAATTGCCAAGATAATAACAGACAGTGAGTGCAACATAATCAAACAAACGGCGGAGGGTGCCTTGGTTTTAATATACATTTCACAAAACATCTCTTTCCAACTGGAGTAATGAGATTAAAAAGCCCACATAGGTTCATAATGCAACCTAAGTGTAGCTGCTACTTTAACGTGCCCTGGTACGGTCGAGAGTGGGGAGAGTCTGCTCTCCCTCTCGAAATGCTCTCACATGGCCACGCGTATATAGCCTCTGTCAGGGAAGTCCTACTCACTGCCTTCTCGTGGCGGGGGTGTTGTTTACGAAAATGAGGGGACGAAAAGCGAATGTCCGGCGCTTTAACCGGATCTCAAACCAATGGTGCACATGGGCTCCAGTATCCTGAAGGAACAAATGGCGTATGAACCAATCGTTGGTCACCGGCTACCATGGGACTGCATCTCCTTACGATGCTCCACTGCCTTGTGGGTCAGACGTTCAGGTCGAAGGCTTGGGGTGTGGCCCCCTAAGAAAACTACCTGCTTTGGTTTGGGCACCCTGTCAGTATCACAGCCCTCACACAAATCAATTGAGACTTGTGTGGCGCATATGTATTTGTTGCCTCCTTGTGCAAATGCCTATGTGTTAAAAATAAAATAAAAAAACGTGGTGGTCGAACGTGCCTATCGTAATGATTCGACTGAGATAAATCGGCTGTAACACATGGTCCTTTGAGAAAAGATTAAAGGCAGCAAGTTATGGTTTGAGACGGACGTTATACTAATGACTACAGGCGTGACAGCAGTGGTTTCCCTAGGATAACTAGCATCTGCAATAATGCTGTTTTCTCACATCGGGAGAGACTAGAGAAGCTTGACCCTAAAAATGTGACGTTTTAACCTAACCAAACAGGTTTCAGACTTTGGAAGTAAGGACTTTTGATGTGCGCCTGAAAAACTTTTCATAAAAAGACTGTGTGACCGGCCTTAAGCAGTTGTCTTTTGGGCACTGCAGTCACACCCCCCAGATCAATAAGACCATGGCTAATTGTACTTCGTTTTTAAGTCATTCAGGAAGAAATAGACCTTCACGGTGTGGGCAGCTAGGAAGTAACAACTGCTGTCATACCTCCCTCTGACTTATACAATGAGAATTGGACAAACGGTTTAGTGTCTGGAATGCGTATGATGATATGCTGTAACGCTATGCATTACTACAAGAACAAAAATATAAAATATTAGTAGTACCAAAAATTACGTAATTTTTCGTTCTATTACTATGCTAGACGAAGTACACATATTGAAGTGGTTAACTCGGATTACAGGTGCATCTTTCCAGTGACACGAGAAAAGCTAATAAATCCTGGAAGATCATAAGCTGCCTATAGATAATTTTTTACTCGTGCAGCTTTGAACAGTTCCGTATACTAGAACATTATCTAAGATGAGCGATATCGCAATAAAATTTCCGAAGAGAATTCCTTCCTAGCTTCTTGTATTGGCCTAGTTATAGCACGACATTAAAACATGGTGAGGGATACATAAATATTGCGGAGCTTCAGGAAGACGTTTAAGAATTAGCAGAATGGTCTGAGATTTGTTAATCCCAAGAGCATTGTGATGCTTTTGTTCATTAAATGAAGTGTTAGGCTACCAATTGTGATTTAGCGTTTATTACCAAGCAAGACATATTGCCATTCAGTAACTGTTGAAACTAGAAACTTTTGGTTAGCACCATGTACTTTCATCCACCTACGTGCTTCAAACAACTGAGTGCTTCACTGAATCTCGAGCGTTGCAAACAAACAAACAGCTTGGAACCATGAAGATTACGTATGACGACACTAACAAGATCAGAATTAAAATTGTCAGTAGATGTGCTCAAAGTCATCGATTGCGACACAAAATAAGGCTACATCAGTTTTGCTAACTCGCGAATCTAAAATTTAATTATATTCCACAAGTCAATATCAGTTTAGTCGTCTTAAAACCTGCTGTATGTTCACAATGGTTGACCAATTTTCTGGATATATAATACCGACCCTATTTGTCATGATATCGACACGAATCTATGAATTTCAGACAGTTAGTTTAGTTGCTTGAGGACCAATTGCTTTTGATTCACTTAAGCCTGAAGATCTGAATCTAAACAAATGGAAATGATGTTTTAGTGCAGAATTTTACACCTACTACATCATATGACCTACCACTACTTATACAATGTAAAAGCACATATACTGAAAAACATAATTAACCTGGCAAAGCGGGTTCCAATCTAGCATCATCAACTTCCTCAGCATTTTGCTCTTCCTCGTTTGGATCGCGATAGAGAAACAGGTCAGGTAGTACACTCCATTGGTGCAATCTTGTATCTTCGCCGCGGATGCGCCGTACTTCACGAGCAAGAAGCCACCACACAACGGCAATAGAATTTGTTGACTAAAGGCAATTGCATGGAAACTAAAAAATTACCTTGTTATTACAGGGAATGACGATATCAACACGTGACAAAGGGGTGTCAGTATTGCAGAATGCAATAAGCGGAACATTTACAGAATTAGCTTCATATACAGCTTGGTGATCGCTTATTGGGTCACTGACAATTAACAGGCGGGGTTCTCGGAAACAAGACTAAACAGTATTATGAAGACACGGGACATACTTGTTTCTGGTTGGTGAAGGTACCAGGTGTGAAGCGGCCTGCCATTGCTGTTGTTCCTGTGTAGTTCGCAAATTTTAATACAGCACGCTGAGTAAATGGCCTGGACCCGATTGCGTAAACATCTGACGGATGATCAATCGCTGCAATAGCACGAGCTGATAGAAGGATTTTCTCCCATGTTTTATCCAACTTAATAATGTGATAATTATCTTTAGTACACCCATGGACGTATGTTGACATTTGGAAATTCATATTAGTCTCCCCCACATGAACGTGAGCTGCAAGCATTAGGCGCAGGTCCTCTGCCGAGAGCTCTAAAACTGGATATCCACCAGACATGCTTGACAACAACCAGACTAAATCACGAGCACAATTAAAAGGCCGCTACTGCGACTGAATAGCCATCTGATGAAAACAAAGGAAGTTTCATGTAGCAAGTAAACTTTCTAAGAAAAAATAGCTTAGTCTACATGTTTATCCTTTGTTGGTAGAACTTTTCATGTTTGATTCTTGATTTAGGTCCTCACCTTTGAGATGAATATAGCAAATGAAATATATCTTCGAAACACCTGAAGCATAGATTGAAATAATGTTCGGGCTAGGCTTCATAGCAGAAGAATCACAAAGCCAGGTTATCTCAGTTACAGAAACACAGCTCATAACAGACGTGAACATTTTTATATTAGAACTGATTGGGTAAACGTAACGTGTTTACACTCGGAACCGACTTCATTGGAGACATATAACAGTGATACACGTAGTGTAGCTAACCGAATGGTTAAGTTTGGGAACTGCTTAATGTTTATCAAGGCTAGGTATCGTAGTTCAAATTATACCCTGGATGGCTCCGTTTAGAGGCATATGCATGTGGAGTAAGACTAAAATTCGTCTTGTCGTCAGAAATACTTTTAATAGATGGAGCTCATAACTTAGAATAGACGCAAGGTTAATAATATTATATTTCTACTAGAGCGAATACACGCCATTTTTACAGTTATGATCTACAAATTACAACATTACTTTGCTTACAGTATGCTCCGAAGTAGGGTTGTTAAATAGACTAAATCAATAAAAGTAAATGACAGTACATTAGTGAACATGTCTTGGAGCTTTAGTAATTAGTTTTACGCTTTAGTATTACACCAAGTACAGTCTTTAAAATTTCTTTCCAAAGTGACATCGCGCCCACGTTACACACCAGATCCAAGCTCAGTATGATTGTGTTAGATTTCTGGTCGTACAACAGTTGTTATAAGGTAGATTTGTAGAGCGCTTTGTGTGAACTATGACCTTAAGAAAACACATACGTCAAGTTTGTTTCAGACGTTAGAAGCCCCAGGGATGTGCTCTCAGAGAAAGATTCTGAAAAAAATAAACAAAGTATCAGCGATGAACTTGGATGAACAATGCCTAACATTTTGTAGTGGAACAGACAGAGGTATAATGAATTAATAGATCAAACTCATACCAGCTTTTTTCTAGAGTGAAATATGATTAGAGCCTCCAGATGAGAGAATGCAGTTATAAAGAAAAATCAGTTATGATATTTAACCTCATGGAGTAAGTTTAGATGATCGAAGGGAAGTCGAAGTTAGAATGAGGAAGACTTTATCAGAACGTAAAAGACATCAAGAAAGTGGAGTGTTTGACAGCGCCTTTACATGTAACACTTTTGTAATCGAAATATACCGACTCTGTCAAATCAGATATGGCTAACAGTTGCAGTTACTCACTAGTAATCTGGTGCGGATGCATGACCGAACGCCGTCAGACAGGGATGTTAAGTAAAACTTATGGAGTCAACGTGATTGTCGGAGACTTACGAAACTATTTATTCTGTGGATTCATTCGCATCTACACATGTTTCAGTATACCCTTGTATATGTAGCTACGTGAAATGTCATCTAGACTACTAGATCTGAGCAGCTAGTTCATTTTTTATTGGGGGGGTGAATAGGCTTTGATGCGTGCTGTGTTCGTGATACGTCAGAAAGACGTCTATGTAATATTCCTTACAACAAGCTATTAAAATCCCTAAATCGTTCCAGTTTGCCTCATTGTGCAGAGCGAGGCGATCTTGTATTGCCTGCTAATGTAGCAAAGGATGATTTTGGTGCATAACATGTATGCAACATTTGATACAAGTCATTTAGAAAGTGACCCCGAAGAGAATAGGAAAAATGGTTAAAGACATTAAGGGTAGATTTTCTATTTTCTGCTCAATTGCCAAGCTAGCAGATGCGTTGAGGAAAAGCGTGTGGCTGTAAATAAGTCTCCAAAATAGCTGATTCCGTAAATCTTCGACATCAATGTTGACCCCATTAGTTTCACTGGGAGCACCGTAGTGAGAGGCACTCGCTCAGGCAACTGCACAGGTCACCATTGAGTGCGCTGTACTACACATTCTCTGCAACAACTATTTAGCTTAGACCAAACAATTCTTGGCACACTACATACCTTGCAAACACGTATTCGAACTCCTTCATTGCTAACTTCTGGTTTGGTTGAGTCTGAGTTCCTCGGTTATAAATTTGTTACGAACGAAGACTTTATTAGGCTCTGAACATTCGTGAAATCCTCTTTGGTGAACCTTACAAAGATTTATGCACCGAACGATAAAATGTTCTGATGAGGACCTACGAAATAAAATGAATTCATGCTGTCCTGCTAGAACCTTTGTTCTTGCTCTTTTCAAAATGATAAAGGGAATTACGTGTATGACAAAATGTTCAATTATTTCTTGTCGTGATATTATGCATATAACATATCGTGGTATTATTTCTGTGTTCTCGGATTTTTCGAGAATATTTATATATTTTATTCCTAATATGTCGGAATACACACCTGAGCTGTTGAAGATTCAAATTCGTACTCTTTCAACCTTTCAACCTCGTGACACTCTTAAAAAGGCTATCCTGTAGTGTCGGCGATTATTTTAAGCCCATATACCTTATTCTAGCTTTCGGACAGCTTAATCTATTCATTCTACTTGAGTCATATTTTGACCTTGTTAATCATTCGCTTATCAACCCGGACCGCTTTTATATGAGCTCATATGTTTGTACACTTTCTATCATATTCATTACATGCCTGTAACTTAATTTTGTGCGACTATAAATGTCGATAAATGCTTCATTAAAGGGGTTTGGTTCACGAGTCTTCTTTACTGCGAGTCGTTTCGCTTCGCTCTCTTCTCTTTGCTTCGCCGATATTTTGGGTGTATGAAATATACGTATTCGAAATCCATACTGTTATTTGACTTATTTAATTAGGTTATTCGCTAACGCCAGTTAAGTCAATGATAATATGCGAGGATTGACGATATGTGTATCTCAATAGCTAACAAAAACAATCTCACTGGAGTCAGATCCCGGGCCACTAAAATCCTTCAGCGTGGTGACCTGAGCGGTCGACACTAGTTAAACCAGCTATTTCGCAGTATCGAATTTCCGCACGATTCAGCAACGGAAAAGTTTCTACGAATGAGATGGGCGACTGGTCAACCAAATTTTGACGAAGACTTCTTTGGGCAACCCTTTTCTCCCAGCCTCCCCAGCAGACGCGAGCGGTTACGTCTCATTCTACAATAACACTGTGGACGAACTGGCTGCAACTTTGGAGTGCACCTTTACACTCATTTACAGAATATTCCTACGCTATGACTTGTAATAAAACCTTGATGTTACACAAATCATCTTGAAGTTTCTTACACTTCCAAATCACTAAACGTGAATACGTTTTGAACCATTTAAAGTATTCAGCATTTGAAACAAGACTAATCATTTCCGACTATTTAATGTGAAGTCAATACTATAATTAATTATTCATAATGTTTTTCGGATATTGTCGTAAAACATAGGCACAACTTGACGACCCCGTAATATGAAAAATAAAATTGATGTAACCATTCGCACAAATTCGATGGGTTGACTGATGATTGTTGTCAAATAGTTGTTTTCACGCGACTTGTCAGTCAAATTCCGGGTCTGAAAATGTAACCATTCGCGCCAATAATCACTGTAAGCAGTAGATCGAACCTCCTGCAAACTGAGAACAGTGTCAGGTTAACCCCAACTGACGAAAGTTCATGCCGTTATCTTAGACATGATTTGGGAGCTGTGATCTTCTTGGCTACAATGTGTGATCTCCCTAATAACCATTAACTGCTTATCATTTTGTGAAACTTTATTAGGTTGAAAACATACAAAGTTATGTCACCCATATTTCTGGATTACATGGTTTACCAAGTTCAACAATCTCCAATCACTCCATTTCAGATAAGTCGATTTTTAACTTGTGCTAAGCTTGGTACTTGCGACCAACTTGTGTATACCGTCAACCGGTAAGTATGAATATAAATTGTCAGTTTACTGCACATCAGAATATTGAGTCTAAGGTATATCTTTCGCGGATTCACTAATGTTCAAAGAATTACTGTCAGATATCTGTCTAAAATTCACATAATTGTCGATATTTTCAAGTGTTGAGATTTTTCGATAACAGTTCTAGTGGAAGAGTGATGCAGTAGTATTTTTACTAACCACACGATTTTCGTAACTGGGAAGATCTATGTTTGACATTTAACTCGGATAAGGTCGGAAATGGTGAACACGAAGAATTTGATCGGTATGGCATGGCTTCGTCATGCAGATGTGGTCATTCTATGTAACCTCCTGGTTTTCATACTAAATACATCACTCTCTTTCCATCTCAAATGCATCTTTCAGAAGCTCTTAGTAACCACAGGCTACCTTGATAGGACGAGTCAACGTAGTTAATATTGTGAAATACACGTCAGATCTGACATATTACATTATCAAATCACGACAAATCTGCAATTGTATAATAGGTTTATTATTCTAATAGCAAAGATGAATGCACATAATACATACCTATAACATAATTCTACAAGCACACGCTTACGAAAAACAAAATAATTAAACACAAAAAGATGTATTGTTGTTACTGACCCGGCTAAATGTGCATTTTTGAACAGTTCGTTTTATTTCTGTTAGTTTGCGAAATGAACATATCGTTTAGACCCATTTGCGGCTCCGCCGGAAAGTGTTAATAATATATGAACAATTATTGATTCGTCCTTGTACATTGAGCGATTTAAGGTCTTACTAATCTCTTGCTTCAGTAAATCGTCATAGGAAGCGTGTTTTACGCTATTTACAAAGGTAGTTTCCTTTCTTTTATTCTTGTTAATGAAGTGTTTAGTTATTCGTCTAACGACTCCGTAAGGTCCTTCATACAGTTGTTCTGATGGTTTCCTCTGTCGACGCGGACAAAATAATTTCGCACACCTGCAGATGTTTGCCTAACTTTTCCTGGTAAACATGCTCACATGAACGTGTCGATCTGCTTCATATTTTCCAATAAACAACTTGCAAAGCGTATT